GTGCACATCTCAAGCACTCACGCAGGTCATTTAGCTCTGTAGTGTTGGTTGTGGCTGCAGCCACAGTGTAAGCTTAGGAACAGGAACCACCTGCCTGGCTCCTCACAATATTCCCCGCACAGGACTCCCTTGAGTGGATGAAAGGACCAGGCATATAGGGGGTTAAGGGAGTGGCAGAGGGGGCAGCAAGATGCTGTTTGGGCACTGATTGGGTCATCAACTCTCACTAGAACCTTAACCCTCAAAGGGCAATGGGTTTCTTTTTGGAGTTAGTGTAAGCAGAAACCTGGGCCTCTGAGAAGCAGCAGGTAGTTCCTAGGAGTCAGGACTGTAGGCTTGGGCCCGTGGGAGAGCCAACAATGAATAGAGGAGCTGGGCCCCAACCCTGAATTTTGAATTTCAGTAGGGTGGCTTAGAGACAAAGGAATTTTCTCAAAGTATAACCTCCCTAAATAGGGACATGCCTATAATTGCTTCTGAGTCTTATAGAAGTAGATTGTTTGCCTAATTAAGCACTGTTTTCACCTCCAGAGGGTAGAAATTTAAAAATATGTATTTTATAAAATGTCTAGCCTTTCCTTACATTTTAAGTTCCCTGTAACCCGTACCTTAATGGTAGAGTATCAGAATGTTTTTGTTGTAGTATTAAAAAGGAAAACTTTTATTTTAAACTTGGTAAATACCATTTAAAGACAACATAAATACTAAAAAATTTAATGTTAACTGTTATCTTGAACTTTAATCCCACAAATATTTCACAGTGTACTGTATGTTCAGCATTGTACTGGGTACTTACATCACCCTCAATTAAGATTATATTTATTGGCCTAATTTCAGATGAATAAAGCATCTTGTGCTTGTGCAAACCTGCATTAAATAACTAGAGGGTTATTGTGTACAGGTCATTCCTAGCAATGCTATGTAACAGTAAACAATATAATAGTCTTTGAATGTGCCTTTGATTAAACAGCTCAGAGACATTAATGACTGTTATTCTAGTAGGATAACATTTAGCCATTTAGGAATGAAATTTAAAAGATTGTCATTGTAGAAAAAGTAGTGTGCATTTTTAAAAGATGAGTGTCTCACAAAGAGCGGTAGGTTATTTTTATGGCCCTTATTCTCCTTCCACTAAACAAGACAACTAATGGGCACCAAATAGCAGTGTCCCTAAGTTACATCTAGGGCATTATGATCTGTGTACTGAGAATAGTACAGTGGCTATTTTTGCTTTTTCCAAATGATGTGTTAATTACGCAGATTTGAATTAGTCACTCTGCAGTGCATTTTATGTTCTTTGGGCATACACTTTTAGAGTTGTGTGTGTGTTCAGGCACATAGATATTGCTATAACTCTGGGTGTACCGCCTACATGCTATTCAAAGTCAGGAAGCTGGTTCAATTTAATCATTGGAATCTGTGTTGTGTACAGAAGGGCCTGTATATCCTGTTTTGTTATTTTCCCTTTAATTTTGTCTTTTCCCCTCATCATCCTTTGGATGCAAAAAGATCTAGGATGGGGACAAACTCCAGAAGGAATAAAATAAATCGCTGTGGTTTTAGGTATTTTATATTGAGAAAGCATTGTCTTATTATATCACTTTTTATTACCTCTCAACAGCAAGGTTACTGAACCAAAATCCATTTCAGCTCTAGTTTGACTCTTAAAGATTGAGTTAGTTATTTGAGTGTTTGTATGAACTAGAATTGGAAATAAATACAAATGTATTGAAGTTGGTGGGGGAAGGATTAAATAAGATAACAAAAAGCCAAGAGGATAAGGAACCATCTTGGGCACTGGAACAGAATGGTCAAGATGACTGTAGGGACAGTTACTTCAGAATGCCTTAAATTTGAGTTTGAAAAATCTTCAGGGAATTCTTAAGGTTTCTAACTGAATTTAGATTTTATCCAGAAGTAAGTTTGTTTTTCTTTCTCATTTGATAAGTGTTCTGATGTTTTTCTGTTTCATTTGCTTAATGAGATCGAGGCTCACTATTTTTTAGTTAAGGAGAATTGGGTTTGTTAGGATTTTAAGTGTCATCCATTTGGCTGATATGTAAAGCTCAAACTGAGTTTGAGTGCTTTGCTCTTTTTGCCTTCCCATGTTCTAAATTGTGGGCTAAGAGTGATTTTTGAAAACGAAGGATTTCGACTATTTCAAAACTAGGAAACTAACAAAAGTAATTGCAATTTAGGTTATGCAATTGGTACAAAAGTTCTTGTTCATTGTGATAGTAAATGATGAGAACCCAGTAAACTAGGAAGTTTCTCTTCATCTTTCAGAATCGTGTTGTCTGGTTAAGAAGATAACCCTGAAAACATATGCTGCCAGGCAGATATGTTGAAACCAGTGATGGAAGGAGAAGTACTGAAGGAGAAGATTCCTTCTAATTGGGAGCGTTAGGAATGCTGGATAGAGCACATGTGCGCTCCTTCCTGAGCCTAAGAGATGGGCTTACCCATCTGTTTAAATCTGTAACCTTCTGTTATATCTCAGCTACTATGATACATTGTCAGGCCCACCTCATAAAATTGAGGCATAATCAATTTGAGAGATTTTCAACCAGTATTATAACCTTTCCCTGCCTCATGTAGCTTACAACAATTTTTTAAAAAGCTTATTTCTAACCAAGACTGGCATCCTCTATAGTCCTAGCAGTAAGGTGTGCTGGGCCTTGAGGCCAGTCAGAGCTGGGTTCAAATCCCTGCTCCGATACTATGGCCTTGGGCAACTTACTCGGCATCTCTGGGCTTCTTTTCCCATCATGCCAAAGGGTGATCACACCAACTTTGACAGGTGATCGTGACGGGTTTGAAGATTAGGATCCATAAATGAAAGTTTATGGCATACCTTTTCTCATTATGATCATTTAGAGGTAAATTTGTTTCTCATACCTATGATATTTAATATATTCATCCTGAGACTTAAAGGTTCCTGTTCCATCATGTTTTAGCTATTCAGGAGTCATGGGTCTGTAGATGCTATCTGAAAACTTGTACTTAAAATTGGGAGCAGTTCCAGATTCTGCCGCCCATGTTTCAGGCATTTCACATGGAGTGATTGTACAGGTACAATCCTACACTTCTGGCTCGTGTACCTAAATCAAGTAGTCTTACCTACTTTTTGAACTAAAAAATTCTAATGGAGAAGCATGAATGGGAACTTAGACTCATTGGTAAGGTAACTATCTTGTCAGTTCAGGCTGCTGTAACAAATACCACACACTGGGTGGCTTATTTATTTCTCACAGCTCAGGAGGTTGGGAAGTCCAGGGTCAAAGGTGTTGGCAGATTTAGTTCCAGGTAAGGGCCCCATCCTGGCTCACAAATGCCTGCCTTCTTGCTCTGTCCTCACACGTTGAAGAGAGAGATCACTTTTTATCTTGTCTTCTGAGGGCACTAATCCCATCATGAGGACTACTCTCCTGACCTAATTACCCCCAGAGGCCTCACCTCAAATACTATTACATTGGAAATTAAGAGCTTCAACATAAGAATTTGGGAGGACAAAAACATTCAGTCCATAGCAACAATTAACACAAGTTAATTCAAAGTTCATTTTGTTGCTTAAACTTGCCAGGCTATTTCCTATGGTTACTAACAATCCCCCACCCGCTCCCCTTTAATTATATTTCTTAGCTGAAGGGCAAAACCATTTCTTGAAGGGTACCATTTCTGTGCTAAGGATGGCTGGCTCAAATGCCTTCCAAGATGGGGCAGGTACAAGTACCATTTCTGTTGGCTGGCTCAAATGCCTTCCAAGATGGGGCAGGTACACATAAATAAGGGGATAGGCCACTGCAGACCACAGAGCACCCCCCAAAGGGGAGCAGCCCAGCCCTGCAGGACCCTAACGTAGTGCTGGGCTCTGGGTGTGTGTTTCTAAGGCTGGGAATCTGGATTGACATGCAGCTGTCAGGTAGTAGATGTATTGTTGCTTGCCTTTTTATTTTAAATTTTAATACTATGATAAGCCAAACAAAATACATCTGTGTATTGGTCTGCCTTATGGGGCATCAGTTTGCCTCATCTTCTCTGTTTTGTGCAAAAGGTACTCAAGTGTTTGCCTGGAAGATCCAGTTCCATACCTTTCACTTACATAGGGTAATGTGTGTTTTATTTCAGTTGTGGAGATTCATAATCTTCACTGTTCATATCAATAATCATGATTTAAAGCACCTGGTTGAGGGAAAACAAAGCAGGTTTTATGTGTACTCTGTCCAGAAAAGTCTTACTTTGGTATTGAACTCTTGATTTTTATCAGAATTCCCCCAGGTATTGTGGTAAATGCACTAGAGCACCTTGCATTGTCCATTTGATCTGGTTTCAGAGTTAAGAAATTGTCTTACATTTTTATTGAAAAACACTAAATCAAGCATGTCAAACTCAAAGGCTAACACGGGCCAAATAAACGAGGCATGCCGAGAGTTTGACATGCTTGCACTAACTGGTTGAAACTCCTAAAATAACTGCTCCGTATTGGTGTGTTGATGATTGAACTCTCCAGTAGTGGGACTTAAGCTCCGTATTGGTGTTGATGATTGAACTCTCCAGTAGTGGGACTTAAGTGGGATTATTAAATAACCTGCTAGGAAGTAAGGATCATCTGCCTTGGACCAGAATGCCCAGATAACCACTTTACAGTAAGCCAGTGGAGGAAATAAGTTTTAAAATGCAACTTCTTGCCAATGTAATGTATAGAATCTTAGCTTTGGAATACTTCCCTCTTGAAGTACAATTTTCCAAAATGGGCATCTCAACCTTTCTGTAGCATATTAAGTAGAAGAGGGGAAAGAAGGAATTGAGGTATAAGAGTGGTCCTCAGTGCCACTATTAACCATTTTCTTCAGGTTTTCATATTATGCAAACAAATGTTTATGATATGCTATCATGTCAGGAATGTGACAGTCTCAAGTTATTGTCGATCCTTTCCAACCTCCATGTTTCCCCGCCTTCTTCTCTTAAAGGTCACACTGAGCACCAGTCTGAAAGAATGTTCATCTCCCTCTCCTTAATCTCAATAGGTGGAATACATGTTGGTGTCTTTTGATCATGAAAATAAGAGAGTGCAGTTGGTCCTGTCTGGAGAAGAAGTCCTTGAAACTCTGCAAGAAAAGGGGGAAAGGACAAACCCGAAGTAAGCTGGAGGCTTGTTTTAGTGTTTCTGAAACTGTCAAACTACTACAATAGCCTCTTTCCTCAGATGTAGAGGACACAGGATAGCATACCAGTTTAGAGCCGGGCTCTGATTCCCAGCTGCCTGGGTGCAAATCCTGGTTCCTGTACTTAATAGTTGGGTAACCTTAGGCAAGTCCCTTAACTTCTCTGTGCCTCAGTTTCCTCATCTGTAAGGGAGGGATAATAATATCTACCTTGTAGGGTATTGACATTTTAAAATCCATTAACATATTAGAGCACTTAGAATAGTAAAGGCAATATAGAGCTTGTTTACTATTTTAAAAAATTGCCATAGTGTTCCTGAGACCACAAACTATGGTGCCAGATTAAACTTGCAGATGGGTTTTGTTTGGCTGGTGGGATGTTTTCTAAATATTTATTTAAGTAGACAAAGAGGGGAAGGGAGCCTGTGCTCTGCAGTTTATTTTTCTCCTCACCTCAGCCCAGAACTAAAAGAGCCTTAGGGCCTCATCTCCTTTCCTGCACAGGGACTGGCTTGTCTGGACAGAGAGTGCCCTGTGCGTGTTTTCAGTTATTTATAAATATTTTGGACCTGGTACTTTTAACCCTTATATAGTTGAAGAGCTATGGAAAATTAATGGCCTTTGGGAATTATAAAGCAGTTTTTAGCTTCATTTATACCTAATAGTTTCTAACATTTTTGAGGCAATGCTTTAAAAGAACTTCTAAGAATTGAGTAGACTGCAGCAAAGAATAAAATGGAGCAAATTTTTATTTTCTCCTCTGTAGCCACCCTACACTTTGGAGACCAGAGTACGGGAGTTACATGATTGAAGGGACACCTGGACAGCCATACGGAGGAACCATGTCCGAGTTCAACACAGTTGAAGACAATATGAGACAGCGCCGGAAGGAAGCAACTTCTTTATTAAAAGAAAATCAGGCTCTTTGCACAATAACTTCATTTCCCAGGTTAGTTCCTACGTGAACATGCCCCAGGGGACAGTTCGGAGCTCGAGGTTATAAAGAGCAAATCATAACCAAGCATTTGACCCTAAAAGTTCTCATATTGTACAGACCGGTCATTCTTCACAGCACTGCCTTTGGCTGCCTCTATGTTAGAGCTACAGGCAGATGTTGCACACCAGCTCCAGTGGGTGGTGGTGGCCTGGAGCCCTGTGGTAAGGGCTGTGTCTGGGCTTGGTGGGAAAGACCAGGAGGACCACTGTGGCCGGGTAGCAGGGTGAAGGCAGCAGCACATCCTGTGCCATGCAGCTCTGACCTTGTGAGGAATAGTGAGTCCCCTGATCAAGTGCTCCTTGCGCCCTCACATGTGTTTGCCTACCGGTAAAGGGTGACATTGGTGGCCTATCAGAGGACACCTGTTGGAGGGCCACCATCAGTGCCCCCAGGGCACTATCGGCATTGAACAAGGGGCGAAGGGGACATTAGGTCATATTTTCCCTCTCCCTGCCATAAATAAAAATATGTGGAAAATTTTCTTTTCCACATATTTGGATATTATGGGGAAAAGAAAGTTTTAGATTTGTCTTAATTGGGAATTGTAAAGCAGTTTTTAGCTTCATTTATACTAACCTACTAATGGCTAAAAGTTCACAAATATAAATAGAAATAGTGAGATTATGTTCTTAGCTTACAATGAGGTACATAAATATGCTACAATTATATGTGGGACCTGTACGTAAGAATACGGTTCTACCAAATCATCACTCAGCTAGATATCTGTCAAGAGTGTGACCAAGTATGCTCACCTCCTCAAAGTTCAAAGAGCTTTGGGGATTAGTATCCATGTCCTGGAACAGTTTGATAAATGTCTGTAATGAACATAGGAATTCAATCATACCATTGGTCTCAGAAGGACACTTGAATGAGAATTTTCTTTAACATTTCCATGGTCACATCTATATAGTTGAAACCTGTATAAGCAACTCATCAAACATTTAGAAAAACATCTCTTACTTTCTTTGATTCCTTTGTTCATTTGTGCAGGCCACTCCCCTCTCCCTGCCAGAAATAAAACCCCAGCTGGGTGAGGGTGGGCAGGTGTGCTTGGAAGAGAATTGGCATGTTCCTTTGCCCAGTGTTTGAAGGAGGTAAAGAATTCATGACTGTCATTCACAGGATACCTGAGTGCCTGCTCCACACCAGACCCACACAGTGAGGATGCAACCATGAGGGAAAGTAGTGAGGGGGTGTGGCGCACAGAGAGTGACGTGGTTGTCTCATGGCCTCTGCGCGGTGGAGGAAGGCGCCGCCCAGGGAGGATGATTGTTAGGGACATCCGAAGTTCTAGTAGGAGTTTAATAGAAGTGGAGAAGGAAGGCTGTACTAGGAAGGGGGCGCAGCATGGGCACAGGTCCTGGGATGAGCCAGGGGAGGACCGAGCCTTCAGAGCTGGAAGAAGGCTGGCCAGTGTGACAAGGATGCTGAGACTGAAATGGAAGTGTGGGGTAAGGTGATGCCGGGCAGGTCGTTGGTGGACCAGTTGTGTTAACTAAGAATTTCAGTTGCTATCCTAAAAGCAGTGGGAGCCTTGGGAAGGTTGGGTTGGGCGGATTGCATCACGTTTTAGTTCTGCAGCCCTGCACTTGGGCTGTAGTGTCAGTGTGGCTGTAGGATGGGTGCAGGGCTTGCTAGGAGACCAGCAGGGGGCTCAGTGAGGAGATGAGGGCAGCCTGCAGAGGGTGGGTGGTGGAGATGGAGAAAATGGAAAGATGAAGAGACGGGCAAAATCAGCAAACGGGGTGGAGAGAAGAGATAGCAAGGCTGTTGGTCAAGTAATTATTATGAAATTTACAGTAATAACACCTGTAGCCTACTTCTTGGCCTTTATTTGACAAGTTTCAGTGAACTGGAAAATTCAGTATCTTAAATTTTCCTTAACATTAGAGGATTCTACCTTTCACTTAGCAAATTAAAAAGAAAAAGAGGTTTGTAATGCAAACCAGAATTGTTTTCTCTTATACTTTAAAATTCAGAATGGTTAGTAGTGTGGCAGTAGGCCGCAAAAGGACATTTTTTTAAGTTAAATCTAATGTGTCTTTTCCTCGTGATAATGGCTCTATATGGAACCATTGCCACCCCTGCCCCCCTTTGTTTTTAAGATCTAGCTTCGTAAGTCATTATGAGGGGGAGTTGAGACAATGAAATAAGTTTTATTCTAAAAAGTCTACTGTATGTTTTGGACTTGAAAACAAAACAAGAATAATATTTAGTTGTAGAAGTTGTAGAACTTCACCTTACATCTATAGTAAATGATAAGGAAGGTTTTATTTTGGGATCAACAGTAAAAATAGTACTTGGTTTCTTAAGTGTAAACAGTATGATTTTTCTCTCTGTAAAGAGGCAAAAATTTTATAGTGTGGAAGTGTAGTCCAAAACAATGGTCATATGACAATTTGAGTTTAATCAAACGTACAGGGAATGAAGAATTCCGTTCCCCAATCACACTGCTGCAGTCCAGCTCTCAGGGGTCCCCTGTGGCTAGTGGCCACATGCTGAGATTGGACAGCGCAGGTGTTAATGGGGCCGTGTTGGCAGGAGGTTCTGTGGGGGTGCTGGTCCAGAAGCAAAGCAGAGCTGTGTAGGAGTCTGAGGATCTGAGCTCTGACCCCCAGATCAACACCCTGGCGGAGAATGCCCTGTGTACACTTGTCACTCCCCTAAAGGACTCTCCCTAATGCACAGGGCATGTGCCGCAGGAGTTCCAGCAACCCTGGGAACTATTTTCTAGATAAGATCAGCAAATTCAATTGTTCTCACGGGAAGTGAGGCGTGGGGGCTAGTCTTGGCTCTCAGCCAAGTTTCCTACCACTGATCGATAGCCTGACAAGAGCCTCCCTTGTGTGGCTTACACTAACTTGATCGTCTTTGTCCTCCCTCACAGCACACTTACCATTGACCTTAAAATTCTTAACTCAAAGAACAGGTGGTGTGACAGCAAGTGAGGTGGAATTGGAGCGTTCTGATCAGGGATGCATACAGAGCTTCCCTTTTCTGTGTGGGAACTAAAACTCTTCTTCAGGTCAAGTAGATAATAGGGTTGGGTTTCAGACCTCGGAGAGAGATCTCAGGGGTGGATGGGGACACCAGTGGAGACACTACTTAATCTAATCTTGAAGGATTTGTGAGGTGACCTGCAGAGGCAAAAAACAGGAGACCCCTTTCATATTCAGGCAAAGCTTATCAGGGGGTTGGGGCAGTGTCAGTATAAGGGTCAAAAGATAAGCTGAGAGTTTAGAGCTAGTAAAAGCGGAAGCCTCAGAAGCTGGATAGGGGGCACCTATAACCCCTGGGTTGATGCTATTAAATGAAGAGATGGGCAGGATGCAAGTGGGCCTTCTCTAAAGCAGCGGTCGCCAACCTTTCGGACCTCACGGACCACCAGTGGCCCTCGGAGCACCGGTTGGCGACCGCTGCTCTAGAGGGTGTTCTGTGGGCGATGAGTGAACGAAGTTCTCTGATGAGGTTAGTAAAGGGCTGGAATCACAAAAGAAGATCTTGGTGAATAAGAAAAGCAAAGGCGTGGTTGTAATGGAGCATAATATTTGCAAACCATTTGTGTGCTTGACCCTCTGAAAAAGGGAATGATAGAGGCTAGGTATTTTAACAGGTGCAATGATGACGAGGCATAATTAACTCAATTTGTTGTAGATTAGGCTGTCCTGGGTTCACCCTGCCTGAGTTCAAACCCAACCCAGTCGAAGGAGGAGCTTCCAGGTCCCTCTTCTTTCCCGATGAAGCAATAAACAAGCATCCCCGCTTTAGGTGAGTATAGCTTTGTGTTTAAATACAGGTGCCCCTCACTCAGATCTCTGCCTTCTGAGAAGATGATAGGCCTGCCCGGGAATCCTTTTCAAGCATTTACTGAATTCTGGCTCCCTCTGTAATTAACCAGAAAAGACAATATATATAATACAAACACACACACACACACATATACATATACACACAAACACACACCTGTTGTGTGCCCAAGGCTGCTTGATTATTGCTTCTGGGGCCAGGTTTGACTTGCCCATTTCCAACTTACCTTAAAGTCATTAACTTAGCCACTGTCTTCTCCTTTAGTGAGCAGATTCTTTTCCATCCTAGTTCTGTAAACACCTATTTTGGGAAGCTTTCCCGTAGTTATTTCTACCTTGTTCCCCTCTAAGTTACCACCAGTATCTGTGTGATCTGTTCTTCCCATTCTGTATACCCTGGTAATAAGGTAAATTATGTACATCTGCATATAATAGGCACTCTCCACCTTTTGTTCTATTATAGTGGTTCTCAACCTTGGCTGCACATTAGAATCACCTGGGAATCTTTTTAAACTCCTGCTTTCTGGGCTTCATCCTTTGGAAATTCTGTTTCTTTGTTACTAATGTTGTGGTCCCA